CGCCGGGCTGCACATGCAGGGTCTGCTGACTGTCGCGATAAGCCCTCTGTTTCTGTTTATCCCGCTCCCGAATCTGTGCGCTCTAATGGGCAGCCTCTCCGCACCTTCCGCTCCGCTCCGCCACCGCCGCGGCCCCGGCCATAAGCGAGGTGAGCTGGGCGCTTACCTCCTGGGCCTCCCCGGTACAACAACACACGGCTGTGTTGTCCGCGAAGCGCGCGCCCGAGCGCGCGCCTTTGGCCCCGCGCCAGAACCCTTTCCGACGACGGCGGGCTGCAGGCTTTCTCTATGCTTGGCCGGCTAACCGCACCCGCGGATACCGGGTAGCAGGGCGCGCAGTACGCCGGGGACTTCCACAACTCACAGCATCCCGGCCCAGTTCGTCGTACCGCAGTCCAAACAAATACGCCCGCCCCCAGCCAGCCTCGCTCTCTGTCGCTCGCACGCCGCGCGGACGCCACGCCAGCCCGGGGCCCGGGGCTCTCTGCTGGCTCCTCCTCACTCTTTTGCGGAAGGTTCCGCGAAGCCTTGTGTACCAGTTGGAGAGCCAGCGCGGGCCAGCAGGGCGCGGGCGTCATGCGGACGGGACAGAACGGCGCGCTGCTGCTGCTGCTGCTTCAGAGAGCTTCCATCGTGACGAGCTAAACGCTAAACCGTAAACTAGGTCGCTTCACGAACACGCCAAAGCCGAAATACAATCCCCCCTCCCTGCTCCTCCCTCTCTCTCCTCTCTCTTACTCTCCCGTTCTCTGCTACTCTCCTCTTCTGCCTGCTATAATACTTCGCATGCATCGGCCATTATTATCGTTCGTAAAGTCTTCCGCAAAAAACGCAGCGTCCGGGCATCAAGCAGCCGAGCGCTGTGAAACATTTATGTTGGGGCGTCCCGCTGCTGCTGCTGCTGCTGCTGCTGCTGCTACTGTTGCTGCTGCACTAAACTGCTCGTGGTCCAGTCCAGACTGCTCCTGCTGCAGCCTCCGCTTGCCCTGCTTGCGTCATACTCCCCGGCCGATGGGCCGACTAATGGCCACGGGACTGTTACCACCTCACAAAGCGGTTAGTAGTCTAAAAGTCAAAGACACCACCACCACCACCGAGGCTCTGAAACTGGGGGAATAAAAATACGAGTACCGTTGGACATTTTATTATCTCTCGTTTCAGCTGCTTATGAGAGGAGCAGCCGCATCAGTATCGCTTTGCCATTTCCCGCTCCGCCTTTAACCAGACTCTTTTGCATATGCGGACGAGAAAGTGTAATGAGAAAAAGTTGCCGTCGGGACTTTAGAGACGGGTGAGTCGGTCAGTGGCAGTGGGCAGTGTCTGATGTGGGGGATCCCCACCAGCAGCGGCCCCAGCCATCGGCCATGTCAGCAGAGTCCACCGAGAAGGCGGTCCACTGGCGAGACACGTTTAAAAATACCCGCCGAAACACCGACGCACTGTGTTCCACACCGACAACGCAGTACGCGGGGTTGATGAGAGTGCAGTGGGGAGGAGAGGGAGAGGGGGAGGGAGAGAGAGAGGGAGAGGAAGAACGAGAGGGAGAGAGAGAGAGAGAGAGAGAGAGAGAGAGAGAGAGATGCAAAAGAGAGGGACAGAAAGAGAGCTTGTCGTTGCCCTAGTTAATAGACAGCGGGCAGAAATAGCGCCCGGCGTCTCTCTCACTTTGTCAGATCGCCCCACTCGTGCTGCTGCGTGAGACTTTTAACCCAAATATTTTTGTTTGGGGAAAATGAAACTTGTTGCGAAAAGGGGACAGAGAGTGAGGAGGAGGCGAGAGGGAGAGGATGGAGGAGTAGGGAGGAGGGAGAGAGTGACTTACGCGTGGAGAGAGGAGACAACGGCAGAGCCGACAACGAGAGAGAGAGAGAGA